ACTGAGCACAACCCAGGCCTGTACCAATATCCAGAGAGAGGAAAATCAAAAATAAATCGCTAATAATCATAGAATCATAGAATGATTTTGGTTGAAAAGGACCTTAAAAAACATCTAGTTCCACCTCCCTGCTAGACCAGATTGCTCAGAGCCCTATCCAAACTGTTCTTGAACACTTCCAGGGATGAGGCATCCATGTCTCTGGACAACCTGTTCAAGTGCCTCACCACCCTATAATCTTCCTATGTTATCCCTAGTCACAAAGTGGGAATCCTTTTGGAATGGTTAAAATCTCCGTATGCTAAAGTTCTTTGTTCATCACTATGTGGGGTTATAGAAGCATTTCTACACTAGTAATCCTTCTTGTTCCAAGAAACAGCCAAAGACAGATGTCCAGAGCAGAATATAAGACAGGAAGTCTGTGGTGGTACCTCCTCAGGATGAACATCTTGCCTACACAGGCTTTGTAAGTCACAGGTACTGCCAAAAGTCTTCACTAGATTTTATTTTTTCTTCCATTAATCTGCCTAGGGCTGGCTTGCTTTTTTGTTTGTTGATTTTGAACCCTATAAAACAGGCACAGCAACCTGTGGCAAGAAGAATTTTCACAGAACTGCACACCATAAGAAGAAACACTTTTTTCTGCCTCCTTTGAACTAACCATCTGCTCAGTTTTCCTCTTACCCCCTTACATTCCCTTATCTAGGGGAGTGACCAATTCCTGCTTATTTACCATTTTTATGGCATCCCAGTTGTTAGAATAGATACCCCCAACTCTGAACCTTTTCCATGTATTCTATATCCTTTATGAGATAGGATGTACCAGAAGTGTGTACAGCATTAAAGAATTACAGAGTGACCTAAAAATGCTCCTTGTTGTGTTTTCTGCTCCTCTCTAGATTTTTTAGCATTTTATTTACTTCTTTATCAATATCACAGATTATGCACCATGTCATTAGGGAATGAGGTTTGAGGAAAATAAATACATTTTCACAGACACAGAAGCTACTACTGGCAGCATGGCCCAGACAGTCTTAGATGTAATTGCCAACAAATTAATTCACCAAAGAGCACTAAACCACTGATGCTATTTTAGGCTTCATTTTGGTAAATAGAAAGCGCCTTACAGAAGAAGCGATCAAAGAAAATAACCTTTGACTGAGAGATCACGAGTTGATTCAGTTTAAATTAAATGAAGGGTAAACAAAAATAGGTCTGTAATTAAGGTTCTACATTTTGAATGGGCAAAAAATTGAGAAATTAAGGGGACTAATTAGTGAACTCAGCTGGACTAGAAAGCTGAAAAGCATGAATGTGCGAAAGGCCTGTGATTCCTTTCAGCCAAAAGTAGAGAAATTACCTCCAGTAATGTCCCAAGCCAGGGAGAAACAAAGCCTGTAAAAATTACTGTTAATGTAAGTGAAGGGGTAAACTACCTCAACAAAGTGTAATAGCAATCAATGAAGGGCCAACAAAGAATGGAAAAATGACAATCAGCAAAGAGAACGGTACTTTAGAGGCCAAGAAGCTTGAGACTAAAATGCCAAAACTCAAACTGAGCCAGACATAGCAAAGGACACAGAAGTAAATAGAAGTGGGCTGTCCAGCCCTATGAATAAAATAAACAGTGTGAAAAGGAATGGAGAAGACAGGCAACAGCTGAAAGACTCGACAGTTCCAGCTGCAAACTTAGATGGTTACTTTACACACACGGATTTTTCAGCAAAGATAATAGTGCTAAAGAATAGTAGTATAGCTGACAACTGCAAAAGTATGGCAAGGAGCACATCTGAGAGAGAAGCTAAGATCAAAAAACTTAATACCTTCAGAATAATCTCCATCTTCTTGGTGTTGCAGACCACAGTGGCCCAGCACATCCAGAGAGTTGGTAGATGGGAAGGTTTGCAGAAAGGGGAGAGAAAATGAAAGGGAATGGGAAATGAGAGTAATGAGGTGAGCCAAGACAAGAGGTTAAAATTAACTTCTTGTAATGTGCTCTTGAATTATCCTCAGGAGCCAGGAACTCCAGAGACAGTGAAGGCCACCGTGGGATTATGGGAAATTTCATTCCAAAAAGTTATGTTTTGCTCCTCTGAGACAGGCTTTCTGCCCCAAAAACTATCTTCTCTTCTCTTCCTTAATATGGGAGAGCAGCAAATCTGAAAAATCTACTAAATACTCTTGAGAGGAAGCAGTACTGGGCTAATGAGAGTGTTCTCCTATATAAATATTGGCTATAGGAAAGTCTCAAGTAAGGCTTGGAATAAATGGGATGACCTTTTCATTTGGGAGAGTTTAAAATACGAGTCGTACCACCTGGGAAAACCTGACAGAAAAGCTTTTGGGAAATTTCTCACTGCTGAATGTTTAGGTTAATATCATTCTAAATTAGTGCAAAATAAAGTAAATTTGGTTCTGCTTGGAGAGGGCTCATCAAGTGGGCAGTATAGTCTATCAGAGGTACTGAAACAATAACTCATTTAGAGAATTATTTAGCTATCAGCTGGGAAACACATCATTGTCATTTGCTGGGGCATATATGACTTGCAAGACATTAATCAGGTATCCATTGGGGGGAAAAAAAAGTGATATTTTTACAATAAAGTCTAATTTCCAGGATGATTAATAAGTAAATAAATAAGCCAGCTTTCAATGCAAGTAGGTGAATTTTTGTATCTGTAGAACTCCATTAAAAGAGCGGCACAGACCCTTCATCATACTGAATTAATGCTAAAATATCTTCCTGACCTCAGCTGCACTCTGCAGCCTTCCACACTGCACCACAGCTTTCAAACAGCCTCCCAGTGAAGCATTTCCTTGCTTTTCCTTGCTGAGCTCACATATCCAGCATGTGCAACATCTGTCCTACCAAATGACCCACTCGTGGAGTCCAAGCCCTGCTCAGCATCTGCTCTCAAAGATTTGCTGGCATCAGCAGCAGCAGAAAGGCTGAAGCCCTCTGAAAAATCCTGGTCTCAGTCACACTGCAGAGCATCAGCCATGGGGTTGCCATATTTCTGTCCCAGGTTTTCAGGAAGCATCAATCATGCTCTGCCCACGTTTTGCAGATGGTCTGTGCTTAGAAACACATGGCATTTATTGTGCATATACAGACCATCTGTCCAGTGTACAGACCGAAGGCCCGTGGCTCCTGGAAATGCTGGACACAGCACACGTGCTCCAGAGCAAATCAGTGCAGAAAATGCAGCTGAATTTTCTACTCTGCTTGAACAGTAATGAGGTAATGAATAGCTTAATTTAAAATACTGTAGGGGAAGAGGGTGTATGTTCTCAGTGTACAATAACTCAAAACACTCATTTTCACTGGATATGAAGGATCTTTCAGTGTTGCCTACTCTGTTGTGTGCAGAACACTGGTTAAAGTACCCCACTGGAAGGGAAACAGGACCTCTCCACCCTCCAGAATGGGTCTGAACCCTCTAATCAAACAGTCAGCACAATGAATCTCAGTCTAACGAGCCAGAAATGCTGGATGGGAGTTGTGATAAACTGACTTTGTGAAAAAACTTGGCATCTCCAGAGAAGTGTCTTGAGATTTCAGGAATACAACCTTGTTTCTTCCCAGCCATACTCAGTCCCATCAAAGAAAACTGGGGTGACTGCCTCACATCACATTTCCCTGGATTTATTTCTGCATAAGGAGCTATAGAAGATCTGACACAGTTTTCCCTATGGTCAAACTTCACAAAAACTCCACTTTCCACAGCTCTTTCACAAACTTGCTGCAAAACAGATGCTGGGTGAAATGTATAATCAGAGGATGGTACCCGCTGACCTACCAGCCTTAAAAAAGCTGGGAAAGCTCAGAAGGCTCAGCTTCCCTGGTGTCATCCCAAGTCAATGTGATAAAACCTTCTGGGACAGTGAAAGATCCCTAAAATGATTTCTAGCAGTGATGATGTCACTTATACAGAAATGTATTTTCTTCCTTTTTGCCTAGGTAATCTCAAATGCTTCTGTCATATTGAGACAAAAGACATTGCTGGACTTATTGTGAAGGTAAAAGCTGCACAGAATCTGCTCCAGCCTTGGGAAGATGCACAGATCTCTCATATATATGCACTCAAAAATTGCTGCTCTGGGCAGCAAGGCACCCACACAGTGCTATATGTTCCCTAACAGAAAGGAAGCTCTATAGAGATGATGGTATACTCGACACCTGGATATTTGAGGCAGTCCTGCCCTGGGGCTCTTCCCTGAATCATCTGAGCACATATCACCTCAGCTGTAGCTCGCTGGGTGGAGAGGAAGAGGGATGATAGCATATGTCTTCTCCAAAGGTTACACCTGCCAGCCTGAAAGGCCTCCTGAAGATGCAGTAGCAGCTAGAGGTTACTCAGCTGCTCACCACCTCTCACTTCCTCTTCTCCACATAAAGGGCAGCAGAGCAATTACTGAAGGAAAGGAAGGAGCAGCCCATGCCTGCGCACACTAGGATCCTATTACAGGAACATAAATCCTGAGACAATGACATTAAAATGCAGCCTGAAAAACACCCACTTTGACAAAGCTTGCTTTATTAGCACTGTTTAATCACAGGAAGGTGCCTGGGTGCAGACCAGACTGGGAAAACCTGTGCAGTGCCACCAGTAGCTAAATCACACCCTGGACCCGCAGTTAGAGACACCCCAAGACCCTGCTGTGCCCAGCAGGACACAGCCACATGTGCTTTCAGGGGACAGCCCATCACCCTCCTCAGACACCTTTGGCCAGAGAAGAGGTGGAAAGCAGCTGGATGGACAGTGCTGGAGCAAGGAGTCTGTTGTGAAGTGTCAGACAGGGCAGTGTGGCAGCTGTGTTGGAGGAAGATGTCAAGGGAAGAGCATCGTGTCCCAGTGGCTGTGTGTACACACACCAGCCAGGTGAGGGTTCTCTGGAAACTTGGTGCAAGAAAGAAAAACCACCAGGTCTTGTGAAATCATAAAGAGAAAAGAGTCAGGTCAACCCAACCAGACCTGTGCAGTGAGGCATCACAGTGCAGCCCTGAGGAGGTGGAAAGGGAGGGTGGCAGCGGCGCCTGCTCGCCAGCTGAGAGGGTGAGAGAAGCTGCAAAGGTGAGCCTGAGAGGGAAAATGACTCACAGGTTTGACGCATCAGACAAATGGGGAGCATAAATAACCACAAACACCCAGATGCTCAGAGCTGGGCAGCCACAGGACAAAGGCAGATTAGAAAATCCAAGTAAGCATGTGTGGGAGTGGATATGAGATCAGAGGAGCAGGGTCAGGCAAGCTCAAAAACAAGCTCTGGAAGTCTTTAGCATTCTGTTGAGCTTGATCAGGAGAAAAGGAAGCCTTTGAAAGTGGTAAAGGGACAGGGGGATATAATACCAGAGCCTGCGTGCAGAGAATAGCATGGCTTTGGCATAATGAAAATCGCTGTGCAGCATTCTTCTCTCACTTAGCCTCGTTTAAACCATGAATAATGGCATGGCAAACTACAACAGGTTAAAGCCAGTGGGAGTGAGAGAAGAATCACATCTTTTTTGTTTAGAGAGAGAGGCCTGCAGGGAAAAAAATGCAATAGGAAGAGATTTACAGTAGTCAAGAGGGAAAGCTATCAGGTATGGCATGAGCAGGAGCTGCACAGGCAGTGCTGTGACAAGGCACAGTCTGGAATAGGAAGCAGATGTGGAAAGAAGGTTAATAAAAAGTTAGGGGCAAGCAAAATTTGATGTAGCTTCAGTTAGAGAGATAGCTGTGCCACATGCCCCAAATTGCAAAACATCCTTTTCTATCTAGAAATGTGAACCCAGGACAGGCTGTGCCTGCACACACGGATTCATGCCAGCTTCTTCAGAAGGGTTGGGAAGGGTGGCCAGTGATTCCACCACCTCCTTTTCTGGTGGCTGAATTACATGAAAAGGATGACTAAAAATAGACCCAAAACCACCCATCACTTTGCCATGAAATGACTGTTCTGATCACCACATGACAGCGGCGCAGATGGAGCAGGCCAGGCTGAGTGGGAGAGGTGTGGGACCCTGTTGAGGGAATGTTGGAATGTTGTCCCCACATGAGAAAAGATTTATAAATTGAGATCCCATTATCAAGCAGAGAAAGGTCTCTAGAGATGTTGTTGTCATTTAAGATGGAGCTTGCAGGGCAGGAGGTTACATGAGATGCCTTTTAATACAGTTGACAATTGCTTCATTTGTCACAAGGAAAAGAAAAAAAATTAGTTTGGGACCCTATAATAGAATAGTTGGGAGGTGATAATTTTGTGCTGACAATATTGTGATGCAAAAGCAGAATTTATAATGAAGAATGAATATAAATATTTCCTGGGGCATTGTAAGTGAATCTCAGAGCTTTAAACTGGGCAGGGTACATAGTCTTCCTGTTTGTCATATTATATATATAAACTATCCTGCTACCACTATCCTATAAAACTGAAAACACAGCCTAGCTGTGCTGTTTCTGCAAGAGAGGCAGCTTCTGTTTATTCCTCATTTAGGAAAAAAATGACATTGATAGCAAGCAAGAGATTAGTGCGTGTTCCTGGATAGGAAGAATAGCAGTGGTGGAAAATATCCCCTATTCCCAAATGATAGGGATGAGTATATCTAATTAAAAAATAATCTTTTATTGTCTGCCAACTCAATCTAAGTTTCAATATACAAACCAGCAATTACAGGAAGTAGATAATCAGTTATGCATTTTAAAGACTTTCTGCTGAATTACATGTCCTTTAATTACATGTACATTTTTTAAAACAAAAATTGCATTTCTTGGAAGTGAAGGAGAAGAAGTAACAGACTAGGAATGGATTTACTCCATTCCTGTATATCTATGGCCAACAGAAATGATTTAGAGTAATAAAAGCTAAGCATCCTATTTTAAATCATGTGTCACAAATACCTCTAAGAAGTAACTTTCATTGCCCTGAGGCACCTCATGTCTTCGTGTTATCCTTCCAGTTTTTGAAGCATGAGCATCGTTGAATTTTAAGCACCAAAACCAAATGCTGAAGTCTTTAAAGGTGTTGCTGGCACGTGTGTATATGTAACAGAGGCTTTAGTTGGATACACATTTTTCTGTCACATATACATGGTTAATACACAACACTTGTTGCAGAGGTTTCTGTGCAGTGCTGAGTTTTTTTCAAAGCACATTAACTATGCCAAACCTGCAGGTAGTAAAACACAGGGTATGAATGTCAGGTTTAAAATATTGAAGAATGTAAGCAGATGCAGGCATCCCTGTTACCATAAGCAAGGCTCAGGAGAGAATGTCACTCTGGCAGCACATGTTTCTGCCACCACCACCACTCCAGTTCTCATTAAAACTCACTCCAGTGTTGGTCAGAAGGGAAACTGGGCTGGCTGTGTGCTGGCTTTCAGACACACCAGGCCTCCAAAGTATAAAGGGGCAAATGGAAAAATGTGATGGGGGCCTTACAAATTGGGCAATTTGCTGATTACCTGCTGCTGATACATGTTGTTATTTCTGTCTTTCAAGAAGCGCTGCTGAGTATTGTTAGATCCCCTACATCTTCTCCATGCTGTCTGTCCTGTCTCACAATTCCCTTCCATAAAGCTTGTGATTCTCTTCCATAAATCAGATTCTTTAACAGTGACAGGCATCACTACAGCTTCCTACAAACAGATTTTTGCTGCAGGCACTGGCTCTCCCTCCAAGCGTGCCACTCCCTGGCACTGATTAGCTATAAATCTAACAGTAACTTATACAGGTTTAAACATCAAATCTGGTCTTCTGCTTCTTTAGAATTCTGGGTGGCTTTTTGGTTATAGGACCTTTTTTTTTTTAAGGCAAAATAATCCATATATGTGCAAACACAACTGGCTCTGCTTGCATGAGCTCACCAGCAAGCTCAGAAAATGTGTTGCCCTTCTGCAGTGTTCAGCACTGAACATGTTTCTGCTCTCCAGGACAGGCTGTGAACTGCAGAGAATAGGTCTCTTTCAGTGACCATCTTCTGGCAGCATGCTTGGATGAGAAAGTCCAAGGGGTGATAAGATTTTGGAGAATTGCTCTGGTTCAGGATCTGTGGATGTGACATTCCCAGCTCCTCTGGTGCAGAAGGTGGGGGCAGGACACAGGCTTCAGTCCAGGAACATGCTAATGCTGATTTATGGCTCCAGCAGGAGGAGAGGAATCTGTTTGCTTCATATCCAAATCTCCCACCTTTGAGCAATCATACCGACTCAGGTGTGAGTAGATGCCAAAAAGAAAATAAAATTCAAATCCACTTCTTTTGAATTACAGGGTAAGGGATTATCAACTTCCATGGAAATGTCACACTCACAAGAATTATGTTCATCACATGTTGCTGGAGGAAAAATTGTCACCAGCATCCCCCTGCACTTGTATCTACCCTGCTCAAGTGTGAGAGATCAGATTGGCACCAGATCACTTAACCTTCATAATTGGATACAATTATTGATTTCCTGCAATTTAGAGTTTTATTGGGATTTTGTTTTGCAGAGGGATTTGGCAGACTAGCTAGTAGTGCTGGTATGTTTTGGTTCTCCTGGACAGCTGCTAAGTGGCAATGCACTTAACAATCTTTGTACAGCCTTTTCTTCAAAGGTGCAGAAATTCAAAGGGCCTGCCTGCAAAGGGCTCTATTTTCAGCTGTTGCTGGTGCATCATGTTTAATAGGAAGGGGCATTAGAGTTTGGCCTTTATTTATCCTTCATTAAGACATTGTGCATTCAAGTCATTACCCAGAAGTATTTTAATATACCTAACTCTCATTCTCTGAGGCCAATATCTATCCTTTGATGGACACTCCTCTTCTTAGCATCTCAGAAGATATTAACTATAGCACCATTTTCCTTTGAAGTCAGCCTATGCACCTCATTCCAAGTATAGCTGCAACAATCATTTTAATGCACCAAACAGCACTTTAAACTTTTACCTTGTCAGATTTTACTCCTCCAGCTTCTAAAATCAGTCACTTTTACCTTCTTTCAATTTATTTTCTGTGGGAGAGATTTTCCCCAAAAGAGACAGGAGTCATTAAGGAAAATCTGCCAAGTCCCCTTTCCCAAGCACTCACCTTTTTCTCCAAGGGCTCCCCCTTTGCCCCCAGTCATGCACTATCATTGCAATTAACCAGGCACATCACAGGTGTAAAATGGACATTCCAGTTCAAAGAGGAGTTTTTGGTCATGAGCACAACAGTGTCCAAGCAGACTCCAGCTGTTGTTACAGCTCAGCAATGCTCATCCCAGCCTGGATGGTATCCTGCAGAAACAGATCCTCCTCCATCATGTCCTCTTGGATTAGGAATAGACCTCAAATTGCCTTCAAAAAATAGACCTGAATTTGCTTTCAAAAAAATAAAATAATTTTTTCTTTTCCTGGGCAACTACCCCACATTTCATCCTTTAGCAGGAAAAAGTGATTTCAAAGTGCACAACATATCCTTTTTTCAGTATTCTGCTTAGGGAAGAACATTTAATTCTTGTCTGTGCAATTTCTCTTCTTGTCCCCTTCATTAGGAGTTTGGGTGCACTCCAAACAAACACCTGAGCACAGGCCACTGCATCAGCACTGTAGAAAGCTGCTGGGGTCTCTGGCATTATCAAGTACCAACACAGCCAGCTCCATGGATCTGGAGGAAATGCAGACTCTGAAATTTTTAATGAGAATGGGAAGAAACTGTATTTTCAGCACAACATAAAAGCAATCTGACATACACACATTCCTTGAACAACAACTAGTTAAAATGCAGTTTAAAAAGAACATGTTTCCTCTAATGCCATATAAATAAATTATTTGGTCATATTCTCTGGCCTCAGCTTTACAAGAGGTCAAGGTAAAGAACATAATAGTCCCTAGTGGCTGTGAAAATCTGTGAGTGTATGGTCATTTGCAGTTTTCAACATTCTCTGAAAAATTTATTCCAGCCTCTACTTTACATCTTATCTAGATGTGACTGATTATGAGCGAAAAAAGTCTTCAATGAACAGAGTAATCAATAGAGAAGTTGATGCAAAGGGGTTTTCTGTGAGTAACAAGATACATTTCTCACAAAGGAAACAAGAGCACGGCTGCTTTTCCCAAGGGTTCCTGGATTAATTAATGTGTTCTTATTACAGTGATGATGACAGTGGTGTCTGGTAAAGTTGTATAAGTATCAGGACAGCAAGAAGAAAATGCATTTTATCAGACATCAGGAATTGCCTTTTAGGATTGAACAGTGGTTTCTGGCCCGCAGCAGTGATGTGCTGAAGTGAAGCACACATTGCTGGTGTTTCTCTCCTGGAAGAAAAGAAGAACCTCCAGGAGCCACAGCAGGCTGCAGTGCTGGGTTTCCTCTCCCATTCCTCATGTTCCCATTCTCATGGCCTGACAACCAGCCAGGATGCTGCTTTCTGCTTGTCCTCAGTCTCCACAGGGGCAAAACATTGATGACAAGGAATATTCCCTCCCCTTCTGTCCCCCATGGTGGCCTCAGTCTTACCTGAATTCTCTGTATAATGATGCAGAATCACCTACAAGAGTCACACTGGCTGCTTACAGCAGCTTTAACTTTCCACCCTGTTCTAGGACTCTGATATCAATATGTAGGAAGAGGATTGTCCTTAATATAACCATGGCTGGAGTTATGTATATTTTTTTTTGCTCATCTGAGTTCTTTAAATCTTAAAAGCTTGCAAGTCTTAATTATAGCCCTCACCTGTTCGTATCATGGTTGTTTTTCCTCTCAGTCCAATGGGCCCAGGTCTGTCCTTCATCTTTGGTCAGTGATCACAGTGTTGCTCAAACAAGATGGGAAGTTTTCCTGTCCAAGGTTGTTAATTCACTCCCTTTTTGCCCTGCATTAGCCCACGAAATCTGCTGCAATTGTGTGTTCAACCCTCACTTAGCATTCTTTTGGTTTAAACTGCAAAGGCTTTGGGGCAGAAGCCACATGGCCTCATCCAGGAAGGATTTTAATCCTTCTGCTTATATTAGCCAAGAAACTCACATGAAATCAAGAGGAAATTATTTATCCCTCATACATCTACACCAAGGTTCTATCACTGTCACCCAAAGTATTGTTTTTAGAGATAGGCCACTGGCCTAATATGACTGTGGTGACAAACCTGACTTGCAGCTATGAGGTTACCTAAAGCTGCTCTCCAGTTATGGTGGCTGCCAAATCATGAATAATTTACCACCTTATGTCAGAGTGTGCACCATAATTGCAGATGATGTCAGCTCTGGGATTTGTCCTGAGAGGCTAAAAGCCACTGTAGAGCCACTGTCTCTTGTGGCATTTTTTCAGCTCCTAAAGCAACAAGTAATGCAGAAATCCAGGTCTGAAAAAGACAACCTGTAATTAATATCCCACATGCAGTTAAAATGCTGTGAGTAGGATGGAGGGCAGCTGAGTTCCAGTCATGTAAGTCTGAGCTCAGCAGCAGTTAGATCAGCTGTAGCAGGCAAAGGATTCCAATTCTGGTGAAAAAGGCACCTGGTTTGAGGACAAGAATCACAGGAATAGCAGGATTGTCACTTTGACGGGTCACTGAGAAACTCTTTGCCCAATCTGCTCCCCAGTTTTGATCTGGAAATCTGCCTGTGTCGTACAGGAACAGCAGGCACAGGGTCACATCCAGGGTAAGGGGCACTGCAGTGTCCTGATTCCTTTTTCTGAGAAGGAGCCATTCCTAGAAATGCTGACAGCATATTCTTATGCATATGGTGCTTTTCAATGTACAAGAAGGAAGGAGACAAATTTCCTGCATTCTTTTTCCCTTTTTTTCAGAGTTCTGGTTTCAGAATGCAGTGCTAATACCAGAGCTAGGAGTAGAGAGAGGACAAGGGACTGGAGAGACAAGAGGAAGACACTCATGCACAACTGTACTCAGCATGGGGATATCTACAGGCTCCCTCCCTGGCTGACCAAGGCACACAGCTGGGAGAATGTTCCTCCTTGTCTCTAACATGCAACTGCCTTTATTTTGTCATTTATTTGGTTTAATTCATTCTTTACTGGATAGCTTAAGATGTACCAATATACAGCACAGTAGTGTGAAGCTCAGTTAAAGCCTTTGACTTGGGCTTCTTTTTATTTTTCCCAAGGAATTACAAGGATGTCTCCACCCTGCATGTTCTGACATGACAGATCTTCCCCAGAACTACAACACAGAACAACAGAAGGAGTCATGCCCAGAGGGCTCCCCACTGAAATTCCCAGCAGCCTGGGCTGCCTGGCCTCACCTCCCAAGCCCAGGACATTGCTAAAGAGCAGCCTGGTGTGTGCTAATTTTTCAAGTTCCCCTCATGGAGCCAGGCATGGTCTATGTGTGCCATAAAACACATGGCTGGTTCAACCCAAACTCAGGACACAAGGCTCAGCCTGGAGCTGGCATTTGTCACTAAGCTGCAGCTCATTTGGATGGGTGAAGGTTTGGCTCATCACAGTTAACCATGTACATGTCTGCTGCCTCAAGCAGCTTTCAGAGGAGTGATACAAAAATGCTGATATTACAGCCAGGAGGGAATAAAGTTTTGACAGATCCCCAGAATTATTTTATTAAATAATTCTTAAATTATGCTAATTATAATAATTATTATATATGAATTTCTATATTAAATATAAAATTAAATATTATTAAATATTTAATATAAAATATTAAATATAAATATTAAATTATAATAATTTTTCTATTATTATTCTAATAATTTTTAAATTAACACCAGGTCCCTGGAAGAAACAGGGCTGGGACACAGGTCACTCCAAAGCTCTGGAACAGAGCATCACCTCAGCAGGGATTTTATTCTAACACCACTTTTCTCCTAATGGAGCTACTCTGAGCACAGACAGCTGGTCTCCATACAGCTTTAAATTTACAAGTAATCAAATAGCAGACCCTGTTAATTACCTGTCCCTGTTCAAAGGAAAGGGCAGTTTAAAGGCTTCAGTTATGCTCCAGCAGCTGCATTAATGTCACAAGGCTTTATTGTAATGAAAATCCAAGGGCTGGTGCTCCAGCCCTGCAAAGAGCTCCTATGTGATACCTGTAAAGGGCTGGGAAAGAGCCAAAAGAAATAAGGGAAAAGGGAGATGTCCTGATTTCAGCTAGGGCAGAGTTAACTTCTTGTCATTAGTGGTTACAGTGCTGTGTTTTGGAGTCAGAATGAGAACGGTGCTGATAACACACTGATGTTTTGGTTTTTTGCTAAATCGAGCTTATCTCAAGTCAAGGACTCTTTTCTTTTTTCCTTTCCCATGCTCTGCCAGTGAGGAGGTTCCCAAAGGAAACTGAGAGGGAGCATAGCTGAGACAGGTGACCTGAACTGACCAGAGGGATACTCCACACCACAGGACATCATGCCCAGTATATAAACTGGGGGGAGTTACCCTGACAGAGCCAATCTGCCTTCAGGAAGGGGGATCTGACACAGGCCAGTGGGTGGTGAGCAGCTGTATTGAATGTCACTTGTTTTTTCCCTTATTATTATCATTTACCATTGTTATTTTATATTACTTCATTTTCAATTGTTAAACTGTTCTTATCTCAACATACATGTTTTACTTCAATTCTCCTCTCCATTTCAGCGGGGTGGGGGAGAGGAAAGAGGGGAGGTTGAGCAAGCAGCTGTGTGGTGTTTCATCTCCAGCTGGGCTTAAAACCTCAACAGGGGAAGACTTTTCTTGCACAGCTCTGAGTTATTTTGTTTTTCTTGATGTGGAAGAAAATGGTAGGGGAGGAGGCCAGGGTGTGCTGTGGTGCAGTTATTCCAGACTACTAGCAGTGCAGGGAAGGAAGCCCTTTAAACCAGAGCTTCAAAGCACTTTGGAGTCATTTGAACAAGAGGAAAAGGGTAGGCCAAAGTCTCAGAGAGGGCAAAGAGCTGGGGGTAAAATGAACTGGTGCAAAAAAATGCAGCCATTTTTTCAATGAAGCCCAAGGAGCCAACTCCTCTAGGAAGCCTGGGCTTGGGCTCCTAACAAACCAGAGGAGCAGAATTATCACAAGGAAGGTGTCCCCTGAAGGAGATGGACCCAACTCACCTGACAGAACACTGCAGGAGGATCTGATAATACCCTGGCCAAGGGACCTGCACAGAGACCTGCCTCTAACCAAGCTTTTCAAGGGAGCAGACACTCAGGAAAGAGCTTTGCCATGTCCTCCCCCACAGTAATTGGGATCAGGAACCACAGATCATTCCCATTACCTCTGTTCACACTCCAGTTGGGAACTTGTCTCCCCAGGGTGGTTCCATGGAGGGTTGAATGCTGTTGCAGCTCATAGCTACATCCTAGAACTTCATTCTGTGCTAGACACCATAAAAAGAGTTTTAATTTTAGGAATTCCCTGTGTGCAGTCGGATTGAGAATCAGCAAAGGGGCAAGAGAGGGGTGGTTGTTTGCTTATTTTCACTGAAAGCCTAATTTTCTATGGAATGTTCTGCTTTCCTGTGTTTTCTAATATGGAAAATTACTTTTATCAATGCAAAATGTTGCTTTTTGTCAGAAATAGAAACTCTCTAAAAAAATCTCCTAAAAAACAATAAAAAGAGGTGCTTTTTGGCTGGAAAGAACAACATTCAACATATTATGGCATTTCAAAGTGAACTATCTCAGAGTTTGGAAGCAAGAATAGCCCACCTCAAGCCACTGCTGTGCCCTTGGGAATTGTAGCATGAGCTCCTCAGATCCACAAAGGTGTCCATAAACCAGGCTGCACTGTACCCTCCTGGAGGCCTTGCAGTTTTCCATTGAGGAAAAGCAACAAGAAATCAGGAAAAGGTTGAAGAACAGCAACCACAGCATGGCCTGAGACAAAGCCATAGCTCTTGTAAGCCCCCCATGTGAGCAGGCACTCTTCACTGAGTTGCCAAAGTAGAACTTTTGGCTTGGTTTGGCTGAACTCCAAATGAAATGTTTTGGTTCTCAGGGCACTTTGATTTTCAGAAAAAAAAAAAACAAAATAAAAATACTTTAAAGGTTTTCAATAGTCAATAGTATCCCATGGCAACCTCTAAAGAGAAAAATATTTTCATTCTCATCTACATTTTCATCACGATAGATAAACAGATACATTGGCAACCTGTCTTCCCACACCTCTCAAGGGAATGGACCTCAGGGCAGGGCCTTGGGGAGCAAAGTCCCTCCCACAGAAAGAGATCAGGTTCATGGCCACCTGAGGATTATGAACACACCTAAATCCATGGGATCTGATGGGATGAATCCCAAAGTCCTGAAGGAATTGGCTAATGTAGTTACCAAGACACTCTCCATGATATTTGAGAAGTCACAGCAGTCAGGAGAAGTCCCTGGTGACTGGGAGAGAGGAAACATTGTACTCATCTTAAAAAGGTGTAGAAAGAAAGATTCTGGGAGCCCTGACCTAGCCTCACCTCTGTGCCTGGGAAGATCATGAAACAGATCCTCCCCAAAGCTAAGGCACATGGAGAACTTGGGGGGTGGTCTGGGACTGCCAGCACAGCTTCACCAAGGGCATGTCCCACCAACCCAGTGGCCTCCTGTGATGGATCAGTGGGCAAGGGAAGAGTTACAGATGTCATTTATGTGGACTTCTGTAAAGCCTTTGACATGGTCCTACACAATACTCATATCTCAAAATCGAAGAGATATGGACTTGATCGCTGGACTGTTTGGTGGACAAGGAGCTGGTCAGATGGTCACATTCAGAGAGTCATGGTCAACAACTCAGTGTCCACATGCAGACCAGTGCCCAGTGGTGTTCCTCAGGGGTCCGTACTGGGACCAGTACCGCTTAACGTCTTCAACAGACACAGCAGGATCAAGCACACCCTCAGCAAGTTTACAGATGACACCAAGCTGAGTGGTGCTTGGTGACACACCTGAAGGACAGGATGCCATCTGGAGGGACCTGGACAAGCTTGAGAACTCCATGGGAATCTCATCAGGTTGAACAAGACCAAGTGCAAGGTGCTGCACCAGGACAGGGAAACTCCTGTATCAATACAGGATGAGGATGAGGGATTGAAAAGAGTCCTGTAGAGAGTGACTTTGGGGTACTGGCAGATGAAAAGCTGGCCTTAATCAACACAGCCCAGAAAGCCGACCATATCCTGAGCATCACCAAGAGCAGCATGGGCAGGTGTAGGGAGGTGATTCTGCCCCACTCTGCACTCGTGAGACCCCACACAGGGCACTGCATCCTCAGCACAGTATAGACTTGGACCTGTTGGAGCTGGTCTAGAGGAGGCCCAAAAAATGATGAAGGGATGGAAGACCTCTTCTGTAAGGAAAGGCTGAGAGGGGTGGGGTTGTTCAGCCTGGAGAAGAAAAGGGTCAAGAAGATCTTAATTCTATCATTAGATACTTAAAGCAACATCAGGAGCCATTCATGTCAGCAAGGACAGCAACTTAAACAATTTTGAACAGATATGTTTAGCTTTAGCTTGCTATGGAAAACCTTCCACAGCAAGGTGCCTCCACAGTTAACCCAGGCAATCTAACCCAGTCCTTAAATACCTTTACATCAGGAAGTTTTTCCTAATGCCTTAATGAAATTTCCCTTGCTAAACTTTAAGCTTATCACTTCCTTTTCCATCTGCTATGGAGAACAGACTGCCTGTGCTGCTCTGCAGCTGCTTGTTGCACATCTGAAGATCACTGAATCACACACCAGTCTGCTCTTCTCTGGATTAAGCACACCCAAATTTTTTCAGAGTCATGTTTTCAGTTTTTTTACCTACCTTGCTTCTATTGATCTACATTTTTCATGGAGTGTAGTGTCCAAAACCAGATATGATATCCCACCTGAGGCTTAAACTGGGCTTCATTATGAAGAAGAATGTCTCACCCCTGTTAGTTTTCAAGTAAATCTTTGTTTCAGTCCCTAACACTCAGCAAGATTATGATATTATCATTAATTCTTCATATTTATAAGATAAATCCTAAAGAATTTCCAGAGGTTCAGATGGTCTGACCTTAATCAATGAAAATGTATTTTGTCTTTCTAACGGAGTAGCACAAGATGGTTAAAACCTTTTAATATTCAAGACTTGACAGTTTGTTTATGTTTTGTGATTGGGATATTTTTCTTTGTCAATAAGATGAGCAAATTTACAGCTCACAATACTGTGAGGAGCCTGGAAACCCTTTGGCACTTTTAATCATCAAGATTTACTCTTAGAAGTAGAGTGGGTTTTTAAAACCATCTAAATATATCCTCCTAATTATTAGTCTGACTGTAACATGCCTCAGAATGTAAAGGCTTAAATCCCCACATCTAATTAAAGCTGTGCATGGAGAGAAAGCCAGCAGACTAGGAGGGAGCAGTCCATCTTTGCAACAACTAACAACTTGCTGTTTTCCCTATTTTTGAAACAAACAAAGTAGTCTTTTAAAGATGAAGTAGAGGAAAACAAGTGTGGTTTGTACCAGTCCTACCACTCAGTGGTGAAACTAATTACAGAAGAAAGCAGAACCAGACAAGTAATACAGCACATTTGCAACCATGAGAAATAAGTGACAAACATTTGCTGTGATCAAACCAATAACTTAAAGTGCACTTTACAAATATCTCTTATTCATCTCTAATTCCGGAAGCCCTTCTTTTCCCTGGTTGTGCTAATTGTCTTATATCCAAGGCCTCTGGCCCCCTGCCAGATATTTGCTGCTCTCTGAAAGGTTTCTCTATTCTAGAAGATAAATGCCAGCCCAGCATGGAAATCATTTAGCAGCCAAAGAACTGATGGATTTCCAGTTTTGATTCACTGTACTTCAGGACCATTGTAGCTCGAAATACTGTCTGTCTTTTTAGTAATAGGTGTTGATTTTTTAACACACTGATGTTTGGTGGCAGTTTCAATAGAAGGGAATATCAAAAGAATTTTAAATAGAATATTCAAGCATGGAAGGGGGGGGGGGGGGGTTGTGACTTTGAAAAGAAACACTGCTTTCAGATCAAAGTTCCCAAACAAGGGTTTGGCTGGAAGATTAAAATAAATGAAACCTGACTAAATAAATTAGGTGTCGGGATTTTTAAATGTCATCTGCAAAACTCAACATAGCACAGCATTGACTTCAAACCTTCTAAGTTCAAGCATGTTATATATTCATGAAGCAATTCAGGAGGCAACCTGCCCCTGTCCCTTTCCTCTGACCATATAGGTGAAAATTGTCCTGCTAGATTTTTGCCTAGCTCAGGAGAGCAGCACAATCATGATCTGAAAATGTTCTTCAAAAACTGGTAGAGGAAGAACAAAAATTAATCTTAGTTATCCACTCCCTTGAGCTCTCAGCTAGGTTCTATTTCCATTGCAGGATCTTTTGCCCACTGTCCATCTCCCTGTGTTCATCAACCACCTCCCTCAAGGAAAGAAGCACAAGTCATTTAGACCTCATCACATCACCCAGAGAAGGTGTCCTTTCCAAGAAAGTACCAGCTAGTCCCGTGAAGTTCCATGTGGATAATGACTGATACAAAGAACTTGGAGAAAGTCACTCTCTGCTGGGGAACTGGAGTGTTTGGGAATTGAAACTCCCTTTTTCCTTCAGTGCAGCATTAGCTGATAACCTTATCCTGACAAAGTGATCTTAAAAAATCAATACTGAATGTCCTTTCCCTCACTGGTCTCTACCACAGCTTCCCTGCACACACCCTCCAGCTCAGGGAACAAGCTGAGCTCTAGTCACAAGCATCTGCCTGTGTATGTACTTTTGGGCTTTTTCCTTTATTATTTGAGCTTCTCTCCTGTACTGAGTGATAATGAACTCCCATTCATTGACTGTGTGCCGATGAGGACATCTTCACATCTCTCTGCAAACAGGCAATTGTGCGCCATCAGCATTACATGTCATTATGATGCAGCTACAGTACTTCAGCGCTTTCCTGTACTTTGATCAGCAAAGATTAATTACCCTCAACTGAATTATTAGTGGTGATTAAACCTAACAGAAAATAAATGGGACTGCAATATTACTGGGTTATAATTTCACCAGTGTGGTCATTTGCAAGCAATTTCCTTATGCACAATTTTTTTTCTTAATCATTATTCTCTAAGAGTTTTTCTATCATGTATTAATTAGGATGAGACAGTCAGTACACAATACCACATTGTACATTACATGACATATGCAAATCATACGCAAAGCCCACATACAGCTCTATGTACAGAGCTCAAGCTGACTTGGGCAAAACTTTAATTGATGTCAGTGGAGGTTTGCTAGTGGTGGAGTGTGATCTTTGTACATGCAGCTGTATGTGAGCTTTGCATATGATTTGCATATGTCATGTCATCTTGACCCAAGATTAGATCAGTTGGTTTACAGGGTCAAGTTCTATTAAAACTACAACTTATAGTGATTTCCTGTGAATTCTGAATGTGATAAATATTAAATGAGGAACTTACTGCAATCACAATAGGGTTAGGCAGGAGCATTACTTTGGTCTTCCTCAGAGACTTCATAAATCCCACATGCTCTCCACATCACATCCTGCACAGGCAGACTCAGAAAGGTGGCATATGTGGCACCCTAAGCACTGCCAGTGTTAACTTTCCTCTGAGGGTAGCTCAGCTCCCAGAGCATTATGAAATATAAGCCCCTGGCTTTCTCTTTGTGTCTTCTGTTGGACAAGGTATTCTCAGAAGTTTTGTTACCAAAAAAGCTCTGTACCACCTGTTACCTTTAAAGCATCTAGGATTTACCTTCCATTGTCAGGGACAACATTTTGTTGTTAATTGTACTGTTTTTCCTTCCAATTCATCAGTACTCCTGTAGCAAAAAAAAAGTAAAAAAAAAAGGAAAAATTTTATTTTGCAACACCCTCCCTCACTGCCCCTATCAACCCAAGAGGTAAATAAATTTTCTCACTCCAGGCTTCTCCTTCTCCAGCCAACAGTCCCTGGAAAGAGAAAGAATTGCTGGAACAAGTCTTCTTTTACATAATGACAGTCCATAATTTTGCAGTCTGAGCAAGTCTTGGTCTTGGCTTGAACCATAAGGTCACACATTAATTAGCCCAATCCCCTTCTTCAGTAGGACTTTTCTTGTTCACAACAACTGTTTGCTCAGATGTTTTTGTTGCCTTATTCTGAAGCAGTTCTGATGGCAGGCTGTGAATGCTGTGGTGAGCACCATGGTTTTAAACTCATCTATCATAACCCCAGCCTGGAAGTGCCCGCTTTGCCTCTCAGAACACCACTTAATGGTCCCCCACAGGCTGCACCATTACCTGTGAGGACAGAGCTCCTGCAGTGGCGTTGCCTCTAGAGCCAAAAATAACCAGCAAAGATTTTTTTTCTCTGAGCAGAAAATCTCTATTCTAAACCAGAAAACAACTTGCCTTTTGTAAGAATGTAATAAGGTCAATAAGAGGCCTTCCAAGCCAATACTCTGTCTCCTGCGGTGACCAGTAGTAAACACGCAGGGAAAAAAGGGGCTTGGGGGTTTTCATTTTTAACTCTTCTTTGGCAGGAAAAGTAATTTGCAATACCTGAACTAATACAAATATTTTCTTCATATTTCTGGCAAGGGCTGCACAACATGCAGTCAGTAGGAATTGCTCGGTTTGTCTGACTTCCAGAGCTGCAGAAAGAGCTCCTGCTCTTTCTTTGCTTAGCCTTTTGCTTTTCCATCACTGAGATCCCTCAGCTCCTGAGCCATTTCTTCCTTCTAGACAGGCATCCTGCACAAAATGCATGCAGTCACAGCAGGCCTTCTTGTGGGATTCGAAAATCTAGAGTCCAGCAATAAAATTTTGCCATATAACTCTACAATTGTTTTGGGAAGCCAGCTACAGGATCAGCTTTTATTCAGTGAAATCCACACAACAGCCTTATAATTTTAGTGTCACTGGAAAGAACATGTTTTGTAAAACTGCAGGGGAAGACAAGTGCCAAAAGGGAACCCTTTCATTTGATGGTCTAGTGTGTAAATCAGCCCTATATTTGTTAAAACACTCAGATAAGTCATTTGTGACTCTGTCAGAATGAAAGATCCGAGGTTATATATAAATATACACGTACACACACATGCACACTGCAGATCAAAAAGGCATCTGGCTGTCAAACATGAAAAAGAAAACAAAAGGTGTAATTGTCAGCTGTCTGCCTCGGACACCTGGAGCCAAAGCTAATGTAATCATCTGAAAGGCACCTCTGAGCTCCTGCCATGGCTGTGGCTTTCATGCCAGGCAGAAACTTCTTCCAAAGGCAGCTAAAAGCCCACTGAGCTTGATTTAATTTCTCTACCCTCTCCTGAGACCTGTGACAAAGAGATCTGGGCAGCATGGCTTGGTTTCTCTCTTATGGGGTTGTTTCTTTTTCAGGAGCAGCTCAGAAGATTTTCAAATTAGTTTGGTCGCTGTTCCCCATTAGCTTTATACACTACATGTGCACATCTGTAGCTGACAAAGATGTGATTTTGTACTACAGCCTTTTTTCTTCCCCCTTAACAATCCATCTGAATCAGGAAAAAATAAATAAACGCTGTCTGCATCTCTGAGAAGCCATCCTTGTCCTTGCTTCCTCCTCCGCAGCGGTCCCCTTTCAGCAGATGGTGTTTAGGCTGACGGGCCGGCATCAACACAGCCCGGGACTGCCGGCCCTTCCCGGAGTGATTCCCCCGGCCGGGGCCGGCCTGGCTCGGGGCTGTGTGAGGAGCGGGGTCCGGCCGGGCTCGGGGCTGTGTGAGGAGCCGGGTCCGGCCCTGCCCGGAGCGATTCCCCCGGCCGGGGCCGGTCTGGCTCGGGGCTGTGTGAGGAGCGGGGTCCGGCCTGGCTCGGGGCTGTGTGAGGAGCGGGGTCCGGCCTGGCTCGGGGCTGTGTGAGGAGCGGGGTCCGGCGCTGCCCGCTCCGTGCTGGCTGCCGGGCCAGGCGGGCGAGCAGCTGCTCCGGAGCCCCAGGAGGGAGATGCCAGCAGGCAGCAGAGGAGCCACAATGAGCGCTGTCTGCTGCCGCTGAGAGCTCGGACGTGCCTCTGCCAGCCTGTCCTGCGCTTCCCTCCAGCTAGTGCTAGGCTCAGGAGCGCTCTGAGCCCGCTGATCCCTCTGGATTATGCGGCAAATCCCCCTGCTGTTCTGCAGGGACAGCCAGGAAAGAGCTGTATTATGCTTCGCCGAGTTTTTCACCCACTTGGGTTGATGGCATCTCCCCGTGTGGAGCTGGAAGGGGAGGTGAGAGGGCTGCAGCAGACCAGTGACAGCGTGTGACAGCAGCCAGCCCTCCCAGGGGTGGCAGGTCTTTGGCCTCACAGTGCACACAGCTCTCATGCTGCCCCAGGGCTGGCAGCCTGCTCACCTCTCCCAGTCAAGGAGGGCTCCCCAGCCAGGACAAACGCTGAAACACACTCCCCACTCTGGTACGCAGTAGGGTTTTCATCCCAAGGGACTTTCCTTGCCCTGTGAGAAAGCCTTAGAACCCTGCGTGCTCCAGACGTGTTGCTGCAATGTCCTTTTGTCGTTGAAAAACCCCTTTCTCCTTTCGCCTCGGGTATTAAATCTGGGGCTAGTAAAGAAGATTTGTAAAGACAGTGCAAATCAGTTATGCACTGTATTCTAGCAAGAAAAAACAGGTTATTTATTTTCAGCATCATTGTCCTGAATTCAGAGTTCAGTATCCCAAACCATCTGTATGGTGTATCGCTTGCTCAGCTGGATTACACTGGCATAGCTCCTTTGAACTGATGGAGCATTGCACAAGCACAGCAAATGGGAGTCTGGGTCTTAAAGATAGTACAATGGAGCAAAACTCTACCTGGCCCTTAATTCACTGGAAGAAGAAAGGAAGAGCAGATGCCAAGGGAAATGCTATTGCCTTGCAGGCAGAGGAAGCAGAGTGATTTCAAGCAGCTCTGGAAGCCCCAGTTGTTTTATTTTGCAGGGAGATTCCCATCCCAGCTGTGCCAGCACACATGCTGGGAACATTTTAACTGGAACTGGCACATTCGTCTTAAAGGAATGGCTAATTCCCATTACATGTAAGAATCTATAGCCTCTCTGTGCCAGGGCTGTAAGGAAGAAAGACAACCTCATTCCCTAGAGGATGTTATTATCCCCCCAATATTATTATTCCTCAAATTCCATAATATTCAAGATATTATTATTCCTCCAAAGCCTTGTCAGCATGAAGCTGCATGTAATCCAATCCCTGCCGTACGGCAGCCAAAGATAGAGCCACCCCTAAGAGGTGTTTGGCTCTTCCCTAGAGAGCAGAGGACCTCGGCAGCTGGAGGCTTCACCCTGCCTCAGCTCAGGGGTGTACAGGCATGGACCCCTGCACACTGGACTGATTTGAGCCTTAGTGTGTCCAAACCAGCCAAGGTTTCAAACCCACTCTGCTTCTCCCCCCACAGAGGCACAGCCTGGAACAAAGCGTCGCAGCGGTGGAGTCGCACATGACTCCCCGCATCAAAGCCCGGCGCTAAGCGGGCAGGGTTAAGCCTGCCTGAGCCATGTGAATGGGAAAGCCCAGGCCTCTGCCTGTTCTGGTCACTTCTCGCCTTTGATCACAAAACTGATGCAGATTGTATAAAAAGGCAGCAATCCTTGCCGACACTCTCCCCCCTCCCTGACTCCTGAGCCAGGCTGCCCTCCCCCAGGAAAGAAGACAGAGGACTTGAGGGCAGATTCGCCTCCCTTGCACATCTAGAGTGATTGCACTGACGTCTGTGGAGTTATTTCAGGTTTGGGCTTGTGTAAAATAGATCAGCTTTTCATCGGAAGATTCTTGCTTGGGGCAGCAATTAGTTTTGCTCTCGTTGTGCTTGCTCTGGAAAGCCCGGATCATTTGCACCATCTCTTAGGAAAGTGAGCCAGGACGACACTGTTTGACAAGGTATCTTAACCAGCTATTCAGCAGTAGAAAGTGAGACTGGGATGTGATGGGAAAAATCAAGACTGTTTCTGAATTTGCTCAAAGCAAAGGAGATTAAAAATATATATAATCAAGGGCAGAGAGGCAAGGAAGCATTTGGGTGTTCATATCCCACCTAAACACGGTGTCTGTCCTTCAGTGATTCATGACAAGAAGAGAAATTGCTTTAATGCTAAACCTACAAAGCCTCATATTTCAAAAAACACCCTGTCTTAGAAATATTGCTTCTTGCTTATTCAAATTCAACCTGTATTCTTCCTCTAGTATCCGGCTAGAGAAGTAAAAAACAGCATTCTCCTTCTCCTTTATTTTCTTCAGATTCGGTCCAGTGGAAATTTAGCAGCCCAGATTTACTCAGGCATTTTGAAGTCAGGCTGTGGTTGCTGCTACCTGATCCCACTCGTCTGGCATCTGGCACAGTCCTGCTTTTGTTTCCTATGACTTAAGCATCAGGCTTTACTGATGTGTGGCCATATTTTGCTCAGCCCTGCGGGTCAAGTGAATTCCATGTCTGTATTGGTTCCCAAGGGGCCAAGAAGGCGGTTGGGTATAAGCTCTCACATAACCTCTTCTTCTCCAGCCAACTTTCCAAATGGCTCTTATTGCTCTTCATGTTCACTGAGGGGCTTTTATTTAACTTGGCAATCGCTGTCACTTTTCATGTCCATTTCCGCCTTCTCCTTTTGATGTGTAAATTATCCCTGGATATTGGCACACAGGACAATTTGGGTATTGCTGAGCACCCCTAGCCTGACTTCCCCCCACCTTCTACAATCATACAGGCCTCATTGACTATCCTTCCTCCAGGCCCCACTTTTAATTTGTTGAAGTAGCCTGAACATACACAGTCAGTAATTTGACCACATTTATTCGGGCACCACAGCTTTCTGTATCCCGAGTCTTTGCCCCGGTTGCTTTCTGATTTACTGTATGTACAAATTGGTCGTGGTGCCAGAAAGGTCCTGGTTCAGCAAAGTGTTTTTGGCACATGGCTTTAAGAAAGGGACAGAGCTCTGTGCTGAGAAGGGACCAGTCTCCCCAAACCCCACTGCAAAGCTAGGAGAGGGTTTAGGCCCAACACTCTTCATGGCCCATGGGCTCTGCAGCAGCAGCAGCAGCACGCCAGGTCCGAAGACCAAGTTGAAGACCTGGTCTTGAAGGGAGCTCAGATCTAAGCTTACCTGAGAGAATACAGCTGAGCATCTCCTGTCCTTGCTAGGGTGGTTTCCCCTTCACTTCAAGTGCCATCGTGCTACAACTCTTGGGACAGACACATTGTGTGTTATAGCACCTCAGCAAGAATAACCCATGGCAATGTGTCACAGATGTTCTAATGAACCTTTGTCAAAGTGCCTTCTGCACTCCAGTTCATTAACCTTAAAGTGGGGATAACACAGAAGTGGTGTAGGAGAGCACAGCACCTGTGAGCCCAGACCAGGACATATGTAAGTACTAGACTGGTTCAATAAATTGTGTACCAGATGAAAGCCTAAATGAGGGACCTCTGAAGGGTTTCTCACAGAGGGTCAAATTATCCTGCCTGGGGCAGTTGGTCAGCAGATGGAAGCAAGGAGAGAATGATGTGTGTAGTTAGCCATGGGAGAGAGGGACTGATTTCCTCTTTTCTGTGCTTGACTGGTTCCCAGGGAAGGGGAACGGTTGTCATCTGGTTATAGTGGCACATGTTTTTTCTGTATTTGCATTTCAACTCAAGGGCATCGAGAGCAGCTGGAAAGCAGCTATTTTGTCCTGTTTAAATAAACAATATGTGTGTGGCAGGTTGGCATTCTCACCATATCCAGCCTTTGCTGTACCATCAGCTGTGAGAGATGCTTATGGCTTGAGACTCAAAAAAATAAAATGTTTCTGACTTATTCTCTCAAGGTTGACCAACAGGTCCAAAAGCAATCCCTTTATGCACAGGCTGGTGTGGTTAGAAGTAAGTTTTGTGCTTTTCAGGGAAGGGGTAAGCTCAGCTACAGCTTACTTGTCTTTTTGGGAGAGGGTCCCCACCTCCTTTAACCCAGAGAAATTAACCATCCTAACAAGCTGGCTCAGAATGTGCCATCCACCCCAGCAAAGTACCTCTGGGTGTGGGAGATGGCAGGGCAGTTCCTGTAAATACAACATGCAAAAAAAAAATAAGGGAACAGAGTGCAAAGAACTATCCTTTTAATAGATTCACACAAAACACACGCTGAAGCCCTTTAGTTTTTCTAGGCTAAAGCAAGGGCATCAATCTTGTTTTCCTGGGACTGTTAACACCTGAAAAGCCAGGAGTTCATCTCAGTGACTTTGAAGCAGTAAAACCTTGAAGATATAATGTGGCTTAAACACATGGAAATTCCTCCAGGCCTTAATTAATTTAGTATTCTTCCACAGAAAGACTGTTGGCGTAGTAAATTATTCATTAGATATTATAGACTCACTGATCTCAAATTTCATACAAAATTACAGCAAAGCTTTCAAAACGTGGGGGAAGAAAAAAAAACCCAGCTCACAAATTAACCCTTGCATAATGCATTTCTAAAATTACATCCATGGGGGATATTTTTTTGGTTGACTTTTTTTTTTTGTATGATTCTATCATTATTGCTAATACATATAATTGCCTTTCATTTAATGAGACACTACTAATTTCATATGAAAACCAACAGCCACTACCAGCAAAACCCAGGAGTTCATTTTACAGAAAACTGAGACATATTCATCTCTAGTGCTTTAGTTGTTTCATTCCAGGTATAATAAACTAGGCCAGTGGACAGAGCGTGTCAAATAGCAGTTGCTGGTTGATCTGTCTCATACTCTCAATTTTATTCTGCCTGCAGAGTCCTCCTGATGAAAACACACCACACCAAAAACAGATTAATAAACAGAGCATAATGATAGCATTTTTCAAAACAAAATGACACCCAGCTTGGTGCTCTCTTTCAGTGAATCCTTGCCAATATTCCTCTCCCAAAACATCAAGAACAAAAGCAAAATATCAAATGATTTCTTTGAATTGTTGCAGAGGGTTTGAAAACCTGGCAAGTCAGGTCCATAACACACTATGAAATATTCCAAGGGCTGCCTTTATTTACTCCAAAAGCTGCTGAAATTTAGAAATTTTCTCAGGTAGAGGAGTATAGGGGGTAATGGGAGTGTCTTTAAATTTTTTTATGAAGAGAATCAATCTCTTTTTCTGAAAGATATGGTTCATATGCATGCAGTGACAGTAAAAGGAATTTGAATTTATATTAATGCAGCCAAACAAACCACTCATTGTTAAAAGTACTCTGTGATTTTGTTTAGTTAATAAGATGTTAGAAAGCATTGTATGCAACCAATGCCACAACATATTCAATAGAAAAATCAAGACGTTAAATATATTCACTCTGGACTAAGATTAAACAGATCATCATCAAACATTGAATAATCAGTTCTCTGACTATTCATTGTCACCCACCAAGTTAGCTGGGATACAAAACACATAAACAGAATTGTAAATGCATCTCACCTTCCCCTCTGTGTGCTGGCAGAAGCCTGGATCCTTATTAATATTGAGCAATATATCCTTATTGATTTGGTTTTAACATCCTCATTTCAGGCACACTCCTGCAATAAAGTCACCTTCTTTGGTGTCCCCTGGGATGTTGAACAACCTGGACCATAGCAAAGGGATGGAACAAGAGTTTTTAGGTCCCTTCCAACACAAGCCATTCTATGGTTCTGTGTTTTCTAACCCTCTCCCATTCCCACAATTCCAGACTTTGCCACATCCACCATGGATTCCCATTTCCAGGTGCCCCATGTCACAGCCAGGTGTGACAGCCAGCCTGGAGCTAGGCCCACACCAACTTGCTGACTGGTTGGGTGGCTGCTGACCTGTGGGAGGATACATTTCTAATAAAATCTTTCTCCTTGACACAGGTCTTGATTCGCACAAAATGTGTCAGAATGTAATATCTGAGAGGTGGCTACCTTGTGTCAAAGGTGGCTGAGACCAGCCAATGGACTCAAAAGTTATTAAGAGAATGACTGACAGGCAGGCAGAATAGCATCATAAATCTCATTCCCTTGGGAAACCAAAATAGAAGAAATTGGAGGCTTTTTTCTTTAATCCAGCAAGGTTGAAAACAAGAAATGCCTACAATTCAAGTGTGGGATTCTGGGGGGGAAACAGTAGTGAGGTTATCTTTTTGATTTATTTACATTAAATATTTTACAATATTTTTTTAATATGTAGAAGTATTATTTTTTAAACTAGATCTAAATTTTGGCCTGATTAGGTATGGTCAGAAGCTGTACACTACATAAATAGTTGCAGAAATAGAAACCAAACACCATGACGTAGTCAGAAAGTCATAAGAGACAGAGACACCAAACTAGCTAATTTTGATATAACTGAGTCTTTAGTCTAAGTTTTAACACAGAGAAAGTTATTTGAGTGCCCGAATACAAACATGTATTTTGTTCTTCCATGTTAATTTTTCACAGATCTTTTCTGTCCTTGGGGAAGTGAGGTATAGTGATTGGAGACCTGCCTACAACCTGTCAGAGGCATAAATATTACTTATGAATTTCAAAAATGAGATAAATGGAATCTTTGTGTAATTTTTCTTGCCATAAAGAGTCCTAAGGAAAGAAACAGTCATGGCAAATGTCTCCTGAGTGTGGTTCAGACTCTGCAAGCAGAGATTCTTGGAAATTTTTGGCTGAAACACAGTCATCAAAAATGGCTTGCTGAGTAAAAAAAATAATATTAAAAAAATGTCTTGAAAAATGTTGATCTAATCCACAAAAGACTCTTGAGTGAACCCTGGACTCCTCACAGTTCTGCTGTCTTGGCTAGCAAGGTGAGCTGGTCCCAAGGCAGATGTACCTGGCAAATATCCTCCAAGATTTGGAGTACGGGTCTTTTCAACCCTCTGCTGCTCATGAAATTTGCAATCCTGCCAGCATTGAAGCCAAACCAAACAAAAATTATTCAGAAAACTAGAATCCTTCTTTTTTTCAGCCAACTTCTCTGCATGTATTTGTCTTTTAAACTACAACTCCACAGAACACCTCTGACTTCAAGTTTCCTGGCCACGTGCATGTCGTTTTCTATATGGACTTCTCTTAGAGAAAGGGACAGCAAATTCTATTTCAGCCTGGTCCCTTGGAGGGCAGGCCACCTCTCCCAGGCAGACATATGAAAAGTTGGGCATTTGTTGCAGGTCTGCTCCTCAGTCCTTTGGACAGCCAAGCAGGTACATGGCTCACATGGGTGCTCAACCCTTCTGAGATGCCCCCAGGAATCCTGCCTGGCTGCTGCAGCATGGGTCAGATGTGGGTTCTGTGTTAATGCTGCCAGACCCTTACTGGCTGTCTTGATACCCTCACTCATCTCAAAAGGCCTCAAACTGTGTAATGCTTGAGGAACTGGATCCCACCCAGCAGGCTGATGTGATATTGTGCAGACAGATACTCACCTCATCCACACACCAAAATAATGGCATGATCTAGACTAATCCAAAAGTTTAAAACGAGTTTAAAGCCATCAACCCAGACTCACAGATTACATTTGTTTACAAAAGACCATGTAAATGTAACTTCTCCCAGAGAAGAGATCCAACAAAGTCCTTGAAATTCTGGTTTCCAAACACAAAAAGTTACTTCATTCCTCTCCCCACTTGCTGGCTCCACTCAGGCAAATATGCTTTATTTTATTATCTCTAAGCATTCCTAGAGATGGTCACCAATGAAGGCATCCTTCATAACATCAGTCCTGTGGGCAATGTTCTTACTTGCTTTTCCTGGCCTTTAAATTCCCTAGGAGGGACTACAGCACTGGCAGCAGAAGGAATGGCAGCTTGGTCCCAGCATCTGCTCTGGTCATTCTGATGACTCCTTGCCATAGAAGGCAAGTTTCAGTGAGAAATAAGTGCAGGGCAATTTTTTTGACCTGACTCATTTGAGAAAGGTCAGGATTCCTGACCCAGTAGCTGTTCCCTAGATTGCCAAGGACCACTCCCTTGAAAGACCAGATGCTGTTCCAAGAAGCAGGGAAGGGGAGAAGCAGAAGGAGCACATTACCACAGTCAGCTCTTGTCCTATAGACATTATACTCAAGCTTCTCACTGTCCTCCATCAGTGCTCAGAACACCACTGTTCTGTTGGACTCACCTGCTGTAGTTCACCACAAGATGCACAGGTGGAACAATTATTTACTTATAAGACCTTCAGATATTGAAAACTACCCCCAGCATCTTCCCAAGCAACTCAGAGCTTCCTGCACCGCTCTCCTCTTTGTACACCAGTTGCACAATGCTCCCAGTGTGAGCTATCACCAGCTTCACAGAAGCTGAAAGACTCAGGGTGGGAAAGCAGAATTTTTGGGGAGCTGTAGGGAGGAGGGAGAATGACAACAGAAATATCCATCCACCTGAGAAACATACACACAAATCTGTGAAACATCTGTGTATTGCATGCCACAGGTTACATCACTTAACAATGTTTTTTCTTTTTAAATGTTCGTTTCAAGCTCTTCCACAAAAGAAATCAATTACTAATGACATACAGCCCTACTTTTCTTCCTGAACCCATAATTGCTTCCAATTTTAAGCTAAAATTAGTCATTCATGCTATCCAAATGAGCATAGTTTAGTGCTGATGTACGTAAGCGATGCTTTAGATTGTTGAACATAGCTGATCTTTGACAGCTTCTTCTTATAAATAACAGTTTCCTCTTTACACTGAGAACTTTTCAGAGGCGACAGATGTTTGAAAGATGGGACTGAATTAGCTGAATAGCCTGTAAAACCCACCAACCTGAGATTTGCAAATATGAAAGCTCAGAATTCTTACAAAGACAGCTTGCCGAAAGCATAAATCACATCTGCATAAATGCCTCTCTTTCAGCCTACATCCTTTGCACGTCACATTGTCAGCATTTAACACATAATAAATAATAAACAACTTAATAGTTAACAGTGCTGACACAGACTGCACTGCAGAGAGGAGGACACTGAGAATCCATTAAATGAAGTAAAAAACCATGGTAATGGCAATGGTACTGGTGATGGTAATATAACAAAATCTTTTGTTTGTTCAATATAGAAAACACTGCAGGAAAGCAGAGCTTTGTCAGACCTATCCTCCATCAGTAGTTCATGGGCATGTGCTGCACAAAGGATGCTGGGGAGTCAAGGTTTTTTGATTACTTCCTAACTTAAAAAAAAATTAAAAGTTGTCCCTGTGGCAAAGCGTGAAGATGACACTTCGTTCTAATTTTAACATCTTTTGTACCTTGCTCCTTGTTGAAGAAAAATGAGCATGTTCCAGCAGCACTTCAAATGACATGCCATGTACTTGTCACACAGATAAACTGTTCTCTCAGCAGGCACAGCAGAGAGTCTCCTTGTGATAAGCAATTTGGTTTTATTTACATATAAACATATGCAAGTACATGTGCATGCATGAGGAGGCAAAACCAAAGAAACATGTTTGACGCTTGGGGAGGGAAAGATGAGTTTCACAGAGGTGTCTTTGTTTTGGTGGGAAGGAGAGGGATTCAAACCACAACTTCATATCAGTCCCCACATCTTCTCTGTTCCCTCCTCCTGGGATCACAATTTTCTTCATCTAATGGGCCCTACAATAGTTTTTCACCTGTTAAACCCCCTCAGAATCTTTACAACATCCAGTATACAAGTTATACTTCAGAAGTGTGGAAGCAGAATTTCACACACAGACAATTTGCTTCTCAAGATCCCGTTTTCAGCATTACTTCTATCAGTAAATAAATCAGACAGTTCCAATCACATTATTATTCCATAAACATCACTCTTTGATTAGCTCTTCTCTTTGGAAAATTCATACACCAGTCCCAACCTAAATGTACTTTGTCTGTTCAAGTGACGTTCTGCATTCTGTGCTTCTTAAATAAAATGGCTTCAGATTAGTAAAAATTGCAAATTTTCCTATGCACTCAGTCAACAGCCCAGCAAACATTTTACAAAAGTCTCCCACAAAAAATAAGATAAATAGCACCATCCCACTGCTTCTTAAGGTAGAAGGCAGAAACAAATTACCCAGCTAACACACAAAGTATACAGAATATATTACAAAGAAAAATATGCATTATTAGAGCTAAATTTATATACCAATTAAGTTGTCCATCTCTTTGAAATCAGACATATTACCTTACTACTTTCAGGCTTGTGAATAGCATTTGTGAGCGTTGAAAGGCACAGGTACCAGGAAAGTTTTCATTTTTCACACTGTCATTACATGAGCAAGGTTCCAAAGGCAGAAACAATCCAGGAGCTTCCCATGACTCGTGCAAGTCCAGCCACACACCTGCATCAATCACCACCTCTTTGCAAGCATTTATCTTCTCCCTGTTCATGGTCCCTCAAGTTACAAAGCAAAGCATTGAATGGGTTCCCTGGATGGGTGACTGGAGAGAGGCTGCTGTAACCAAATCCATGGAGAAGACCTTACAACCCCCCCTAATTCACTCCATCCCCCTTGTGTGACCCCAGCTGTGAGTCTGCACCTATTCCAAGCTGAAGCATGCTTAAAAAAGCCCTCTTGTTCTGATGATCTTTATGAATTTTGTTGATTTGGACAGAAAGACACTCCTATTTTCTCCTTTTTTTACTGCTTCACCTAGCAGTCTATGTGTTTATTCAAGGTGGATCTGTCCCTTCTTCTACCACTGTGAAGCACAAAACACTTCTGTGAGCTTCCACTTAGAATTAAAAATTCAATGCAAATAAGGCAAAAGCAACAATCACAGAAATTGTCTGACACTTCTCTTGACCAACTCCCTCTGTATTATTACAGTGTGATTACAGCAATGAAGAAGCTGTAATCAGCCTTTCAGATCCAGCAGGCTGAGCTGGGTATGGAAAATAAAGTATACAAGTGTCCACTCAGAAAAATAAGTCAAAAGTAGACATTAAAAAAAAAAAAAACCCTATGGAAAAAGTCCTCCCATGTATCCTGAGACATCAAATTCCAGAAGATTTTGCTGGCTATAATCAGTAGGTTAGAGAATGACATGTTTGGGAATTCCTGGTGCAGTAAAGACTAATGGCAGATTTCAAGGACATGTAAAAGGAATTAAAAGGTAGCTTATTACTTAGCTTGGAGGTACCCCAGTACCTTACCCTGTATCAGAGGATTCATTTCACAAAATGGAAATAATCACAACCATCTTTTCCAGGTCACTCTATAATTTGTTCTCTTTCAGAGATTTTATAGTTGTTAATCTACCTAGAGACTCAGGTGGAAAGGCAGTACATAATAACGTGATTAAAGATCATGTCAGCATGCAGATGCCCAGAAGTCAAAGTCTGAACTCTTTCTGTCACAGAACATACAAGTTTTAATATGATGTCTAGAGTTTCACCTCCTGATAATCTGAAGACACCAGTAAATCCTTGGGACAGAATGCTATAATTCAAGTCCAAAAGAACAGATCCCATATAATCAATTAACAATCACGTCTGTCAAGCTCTCACCACATGTGCAATCAGCAGCTGGGCATTGATTTGCAGGCTGGGTTTGCCTGTAGAGCAAGATGTGTCAGAAAACAAAGCAGAAACACAAATCAGAATATTTATCATAGAACCATTGAATGGTTTTAGTTGGAAGGGACATTAAAGGTTATTTTGTTCCACTTCTCCCCTCTCATGGACAGGGACACATTCCACTAGACCAGGTTGCTCTAAGCCTTGTCCTGTCTTGCCTTGAATGCCCCCAGGGATGGGGCATTCACAGCTTCCCTGGGAAACCTATGTCAGTGTCTCACCACCCACATAATGACGATTTTCTTCCTTATATCTAAATACTTGGCACCCTACAGTTTCATACTGGTGCTGATACACAGTCTCACCAAGTTCACATGGCAGGAAAAGAAACAGAGAAATATAGAAAGTGCAATTTATAGAACAGATCCTCCTCCTCATTTACAGATTAGCAAATTTTCTCCACTTAGCCACTATGTTCACACTTTGCATAATTAACCTATTTCATTAAAAGAAGGAGTGTTTTTCTTATGCAAAATAGGAACACAGGTGCTGTAAGTTACGAAGATTTGCTTAGAAAATCCTATTTTCAAATCCTGCTCAGGCGCATTTCCTAAACTAAACCCAGTAATATTACTGATTGAAACAAAGTGACAAGGTGGGAAGAGGAGTGAAAAATACTGTGAACCAAGGACATCACCAAATGAATAATGTTTAATCCGTCTTAATGCTACCAGGAAAATTAAGTTTAAGCTGCACATTTAATTAGTCTGCTAATGCTGTTTGATGGGCCTCCTCGTAATGCCAAGACCACTGGGATCTTCTGTGTGTCCCCAAGAAACCTGAGATTTTTCATTATGTCTGCATCTATGGCAGAGATATGACTTACTCACCCCTCCTCTTGGGCTTCAAGCCTATCAGTATTAACACATAATTCATGTGCCTTTGGCTTATGCATTCACAAGGAGATGGTTTGTGCTGTTCACAGAGAGTTTTCATGTTGCTGCAGCTGTGCTGTGTGAAAACCTCATCTACTGCCAGGCCAGTAGAGCACTTTTAGTTTCCAAAAGGCTGGATGTGTTTGCCAGGTCTAGCAGTGCTACCAGCAGAACTTCGTATCCCTGGAGTCTTACAAATAATATCTGGGGGCAGGGGTTCCTGGCAAGATGGTCAAAACACAGCTCAGAGGGTTATCAGCCTCTCTGTTAATAATAGAGGGAAATCCCTCCTGTTATGGCTTTGGATTAAAACCACCAAAGAGTAGGTGGATGTAAAGACCACAAAGTTATTCTGTTTTATTGATTAGCTTAGAGAATTTGTTTGTTAGAGATTGGATAAGGTCAGGAAGTCCAAAGGCTCCTCACGACTCTGTTTGGTTAATGGATTTTAAACAGCATCAGAGCACTTTAACCTTTCCTCACAGAGCTGGAGGCCAAACACAGCTCTCTAGCACTAATTATTGAGGGTCAGATTTACTCCTAGCAACAGGATCCACCAACCAGCAGGTCCAATGACATCTTCCTGATTTAGGAAAGAAAAAAAGAACCACAAAAAAACTCCACTAAAAATGCTACAAACAGCAACAATCCCACCCCACCATACACACACACATACAAAACAAACAAAACAAATGACAAAAACAAACAAGAAAAAAGAAAAACAACAGCAACAAACTAACAAACAAAAAACCATCACCAAGTGCTAAATATCAGTCTGATCCTTCTGAGTGCATGGTTTGGTTTTATAAGCAAACACACAGAGATATCCAGATAGGTCTGTCTGCAGCACTGTCTCTTTTTCAAGTTCAGGACAGCAACAGAAAATTATAAGTTTATGTCCCATCTGCATGGTACTGATTCTAGTCTGATCTCCAGCAAAATGTTTTAATACAGCACAATGAAACTTGACAGCCTATACTTTGATCTGAATCAAGGAAGGCAACTGGGGATTAAATATGCATTGAGACAAGTTAGTCTGACTACTCCTTCTCTGTTTTTTGACTGAGAATGGTGACTTTGAATTTCAGCTCAATGACAATTTTTTTCCCCATAGAGGGACACCTAATAACTGAGAAGAGATACCAGATAGAAAGAGTTCTCTTCCTTGCATTAGGCAAAGACACACACCCCCATGCACTCTAAAGTAAAAATAAATACATGTCTGTGACCAGGCTTATCAATATGGACAAGATTATTTTTACCAACTGCCTTGTATGACTTCAGTACTTCAATATTCAGTATTTCAATCTGCAACAACTACTTGCATCTTATACAGCACCTTTTGCTCTTTGGCAAATCACATAAATATTCTTTGCATCCAGCATTGGGAAATATTTTCAGTGCATGTGTTCTTGATTTATAAGTTTAATTAGAAACTTTTATGCTTTATACTGAAATACTCAGAGAACAGTTTGACTTGTCTGATCATAAACAACAGCATTAGAATTCCAAACACATCTTCCCTGTATCTGAATGTTAATGCCCACAATTTCTTGTGCCACCCTCAAAGGGAGTATTGCAAGGCACACAACAAAAGGTTGGCGTCACATTCTCTGTTCTTACCTTCCAATTCACGTAAACATTTCAGTGCACACCAAACACTGTGCAAAAGAACTTCTCTGAAGGCAAGAGAAGAAACATGAAAAACTGCTGGGGCAGGACCTACTACAAGCCACTGGCTTGTCCCCACAAAGGTAATACATTAACTTGCAAATAATCCTTTGATTTTGACAGTGTCAAGTAACAACCACAAGTCTTGGACCCGAGAGCAAGAAAAATAACAACATGTAATACTTCCAGAATTATGCCAAACTGAGGTGGTATCATTAACTTTATCTTATAATTAAAGAAACCAAGGCACAAGGCTTGAGTGATATTCATCAGCAACAGGAAAGCCAGGCACACAATTAACATTTTTGTGGCTGCTCACCCACTACACAGAGTCCATGGGAATAGTAAGATCAAGCTATGTTTAAAGGCATAAAGAAGGAACAAGATGATTCTGTGTTTAAAACACTGGAATTAGGGCTTAGAGCAGCAAAATTGAGATCCTAGCTCTGTCACAGATTTACTAAGAGATACTGAGTGTTTCATTTAGCCCTGTCATATTTTAGTCCACTTATTGTAAAACAAGATTAAATACATTTTCTTTCTTGCAAATGCAGAGCATCTCTCTGCCTCCTCAGTAGGTTTTTCTCCATACATATTTGGTTTGGCAAAAACACTTTTTGCTGAAAAAAGACTGATCAAAAATGTTCAGCCAGCCATAAATGGGGAAGAAACTTTCTCATTATCTGTGTTTATCAAAGTCTGAAAGGGTCTTAGTCTTTTCTGAGGTTTAGTACAGTACTGTAGCAGAAACAAACTGTGATCCCAGTAGAGTACAGATTAATCTCATTCAGAGTATCAGTGGAATGAAATGAACTCATTACCTTAAGAAACAAAATATTATTTCTAACACAGTCCTTTGTTTAGACACAGTAATGAGTCAGAAATGGCAGTGGCAGAAATGATAAAGAAAGGACATCTCGCAAATTGTTTTGCACTCTGAGCTGAATGGTTAAGTGTCTGCAGAGAAGGTTAATCACAGGAATAAAGACAGCACTCCAGAGCCCTCAGACTCTGGCAATAGGATTTCCACCTGCTTCATCTCACAACTGCCTCAGTCACAACTGCACCACTGAATTTTTGTGCCTTGAGAAGGGGTATTTATTCTTATGTCTTACTCCCAAGGCCTAAGGGCCACAAGGGCCCTTTAAATATTTCTGAAGGACTGGAGACTGGAGGATCTTGCAATTCCCCTGCTCCCTTTTAATGTAGAGAAAATCAGTGTAAAAAAGACTCAACAAAAGCATTTCCTGAGCAGCTCTGTCTCCCACCACACACTGACGTGGCAGCTCTTCCCAGATCCTCTGTGCTGATGCTGTATCGAAGCAAATCCCTTTGCCTTCGAAAAAGAACAAAGGGCACTGACTGTGGCAGCATGTCAGCAGCAAAGAGCACTGGGGAAGAAGAAAATCCAGATCTGAACTCTCCTCAAAGAGCCAGGACTCTGAGTTCAACATAATCCATGGTTTTACCAGAAAACTTTGATAAGGTGGTTAATTATTGGCTGAGTAACCCCTTGCTATCCCTAAAATCAATTACTTCTCCTTCTGTATTGATTAAAACAACCCTTTGCTATTTTCTCACGATCCTGGTTGTCAACAGCCCTGTTAGATGCTCTCTCTGTAAGCAGACTATTCTCCTTTGGCTTTTTCAAGTGCAACTCCTAAACGGAGTATCAGTCAGTAGGAAGTCTTCTTTTAGTTCTCTTTCTCCTCTCTACAGCTTCTGCTCATTGAAGTTATTGACTGACAGACCAAAGTGAAAATATCTTAACTTTGTACACTTAGCAAATAAATAATCTGAAAGCTATAATGTAGCATTTTCTCACACACAAAAAAATGCACCCTGATGCTTTTCACCCTGTATTTGTAAATCAATGAATTAATTATTGAGCCAACAAGCTCAGCTTCGTAACAATAACTGGAGGGTGTCCACAGAAACAAAAGCATAGAGCAACTTTTTTACTCCTCCAGAGCACTCCCCTGATACAACCTCCAAGGTCTTGTGTTGTATTATTCTGCTTGTAAATATTTCACTGACCATCAGAATTGGGGCATGTAGTGCTGGGACTACCAGCATTGTATCTGAATGGTAATGTCCAGCTGCATCTACTGCCTGGATCTAATTGGAGTCTTAAGGGCTCTGTCTTTTTAACAAACACTCTCCCTATTATCACCATTCAATATTTTATTGCCATTATATCTGAGCCACCCAGCAATTTTTTGTGTTCCCATGACACCAATCTGTGTACAAGAATAGCAGGAGCCCCAAAGATCCTGCAATCCAAACAGATAGGACAGGTTCAGGCAAAAAAAAAGGGAGTGCTATTCTCCCTATCTCTCTAAACTGGGAATTTAAAGCAATAAAATTTAAAGTTTCAAGAAGATGTTGTGGTCAGCTCTGACTTGCAGTGTTTCACTTATTCTTCTTTCTCAAGACTCAGCTCCAAGATACTCCAGCCTTCTTTGACAGCAAATGAGACAGAGCAGATTTGAGTTCTGAAGATGAAATATCCTCCTTGACCCCCAGCTCAGGTGTAGCACATGCAACAGGAGAGCACTGTGCTGCTCCAGCACACGTCAGGACTTATTCACAAAGAGGGAGTGTACCAGCTCCAGGAATACAAATCAGTCATGTGAAGAGGTTTTCTTGTACTGGCTCCAAGAAGAACATATCAGAGAGCTGGTTAAACATCTTCTTCATCAAGTTTTTGAGGTGAAAAACATTTTGAGTTGAACAAATTCACAAAGAACTTCTTTGTGAACACAGAAATTTAGGAGGTTTCGATGAAAAGTTAACAGCAGCATAGCAATTGAAATTCCCTTCTGTATCAGCTCTCAGAGAACACAAACAACCCCAACTCATCTTATCCTACATTTTGGCAGGATGAGAAAAAAAAAACCTTTCCAAAGATGAGGTCCAGGAATATGTAAGGAAGCAGCAGTACTTGTGACACAAACACACCAACTCTGCATGGGCTACCAAATGGCAGGCAATATTTTGGGAACACCCCACTCCCACACACCCCTACCAGGTCTAAAAGCACAGGAAAAAAAGAAAGTGTGAAGGAACTCAAGGCTAATCAAGGAAAAACACTGTCAGAACCAAGAATAAGCTCTCTCCTAATCTATACTGTATTAACCCTGAACCCAAGAGACACATGCATCTCCTGTAAGTCAGGCTCTGTGAATAAAACTAGTCCTACACATGGCTCTGATGCTATGAGGGATTTCAAAAGAAAAAGAAAAAAAAGAGAAGAAACATGTTCAAGGCATAAGACTGTCACCACAGTTCATTCTTGTATTATTTTTAAATTACTCTTAACCATCACAAACTCACAGAACTGTCCGTTCAAAGCAGTAGGTGTCACAGAGCTGAAGCTGAGGGCATGCTGATGTGAAGAAGCAGAGAAGCAGGCATCTGTCTGGATTGCTTTAATTTTGTGGTTTTATGTCAAATGCTGAAACATACTCTAATGCTCTTGCATATTTAATTCCCCTTGTTCTTTTAAAACACTAACAAATGTGACTGCTTGCACTGCCAAGATGCTGCAAATTAAAACAATATACACAGCCGAAATGTGACCTTGAACTGTTGCTAGATCACAGCCCTGCTTACACGAGGCACACCAGCAAGCATGTTCCTCTCCCAGTGTAGTCCCTTCTCATGGCACGTTATGTTATCCCAACATGACAGCCTTGCAACATGAAGTCCATTGAAATCACGGTACAGTCCAAACTTCCCCCTCACTGCAATGGGAGTTTGTCTAGTAAAATTAATTAGACCTGCAGGGAACTGTTCTAGAGTCCTGCCAACACCAGTGAACAAAACCCTCAAAGCTTACCAGTTTTAGCTCAGAAGTTCACTGATGTTCTCCCAGTAGGATCACTCTTCATCATGAAAACTGAATGTACTGCTGATATTTTGTGTGATGAAGACCAAGGCCTAATGAAAGGCATTTAAATATGTGCCAGTAAAGAGGAAATTCAGACTTCTGAAAAACAAAGAGATGTCTGAGCAGCTGGAAATACTCAGTATGATCCTCCAGCTGAACACAACTGTGCTGGCAGACAGGAAGAAAACTCAGGAAGAAAGCAGGGCTTGCTCTTACACACCACCCCATGGACTACCCTCTTAAGGGTTTCCCCCTGCCAAAAAAAATAGGAGAGGAGACAGGAGGGAGAGATCAAGAACATCACATGAGAAAAAACAGCCTGGAGTAAAGTCTCAGCATTATCCAAAGTGCAACAGAAATGAAATACAGCGATTTTACTACAGCAGGACATACGGCTGGTGTCCTTCACAAATCTTTCTAATGATGGAACCAGATTATTCAGCTATCTTCTGCACAGAGAAATATCAAGAACTGGATACATGAAGAGAATGATAATGCTTGGCCAATTAATCCATAGAGTAAATGCACTTACTTAAGATATAACCATTAAAAGTAGAAAAGATTTCTGATTTTCTGCCTGTGTGACTACAGCTGACTTCAAATTGGAGAAGAGAGATCACTCAGGATGAAGAATCAGTTTTACAAGAGGTGACTGAAGGAGCTTAGCTTGTTTAGACTAGCAAAATAGCTGGTGAAAGGGGGAAGATTGCTCTCTACAAATCTATCTTGAGGATAAACACCAGAAGACAAAAGAACTATTTGACTTAATGGCCAATACTGGCACCAGAACAAATGAATAGAAATTGGCCATGAATACATTTAGGTTGGAGATTAAAAGAGGTTTCCTAATCACTGCAGCAATTAGGGTCTGAAACAGCCTGCCAGAGGGAACAGCAGAGCAGAATGAGTTCAGCTGCTTTCAAGACAAAACTGAACACCTTCTGAGGAGCTCAGAAAGTGGTGCCTGGACTTGGGAACAGAGTTCTCAAGGAAAAACACGTTGGTCTATGGCTATTCATGGTCATAGCAGTAGGTACTTTATATCCAGCCTGCCCACAGACATGAAGTCCTGGATTCACTTGTCGCTGCACAAGATTGTTAGCAGTGGCCTTGGTCCACACAGGTGTTTATGGTAGCAGAATCCTCCCAGCTC